AATAACATCCAGGCGCGATCATAACCGTGTTCTGGTGGGTCAATGAGTGGACATTGCTTGATTAATTCACGAGCTTCACCTTTATCAAATATTCTAATTTTCTGGCATGATCACTGGTTTTACTTTCAATGACATACTTAAAAGTTATCACGAATGTATTAAATGACAAAATATCTGTTCCATCAAATATCTCAATGTCAGTTGAAGGCAGGGCTCGACACTGCCGGCAGCCTCGGCGTCCATGGCCTTCGAATTTTAGAATTTGGCCGCAGATTCGTGGCCGATTTTTAACTATTCACGGCCATGTATGGTCGCCGATTAGTGCTGGGTATCGAGAGTTATTTTTACTATCGATAATCAGTATCGAAACAATCTTATTTTCACGGTCGTAATGAAGACTGGATTACGTATTTTAAAGTCAAACCATACGATGTTGTGATACTCTGATAGATGTTTTTTGTTCGTCTAATTAATAATAAACTGTCTCATATTACGTATAAATTGTTCTTTATTTTTAAATAATGTAGCCTTGGTTCTGAATGACGAAATACCATTGATATTTGATAGGCCTATGTATGTGCAGGAACCAAAATAAAATGTGCACGAGTCGATTCAAAACATTGCGTACATGAGCGCGACAAATACCAACATGGTGGACAAAGAAAATGTAATAGCCTAAAGAGCTTGTTATCACGAATTCGTAAATTGTTTATTATTATTAAAAAAATACAGCCTTGATTCCGAAAGAAGAAATACAAACGTTTTTGTCATCCATCATTGCTATGTAAAATTTTATAATGAGCAGACGAATTCTGAAAGGGGAAAAACTCTGAATTATTTACACATCCGGGTATCTCCAATTTAGCGAATTCCATGATATGGCAATTATTGTTTCAAACTAAAGTATTGTTTAAATGTGCGTGAATTAATTTTAACATTTTTTTTAAAAAGCTAAATTGAGATTGAGACTTTGAAGTAAATATAAAGTGACTGATGTAGGCTATTGACATTGTATTATATACAAAGGGTTAAGTCACAGAAAACATTGAGTCGACTCCTAGTCCTAGTCACGCACGAAAAATAGACGAAGAGAACGATACCGGTACTCGATAGTGCTTTTTGGCATATCTTATCGATACTATCGCTATTTTACCCAGCTCTACCGATGATATAGCAATACTTTCAACTCTCAATATGGCTACATGCCCATTTTTTAAATATTTTTTAGAATAAAAAAATTGTACTAACAACGGTACGATAACTGTAAGGATGCATTATTTTTGTGAAAGTAATAAAAATATTGTTGGTGATGTGATAGGCAAGCCTGTAACAACATTTTGACTGAAAAACAAGATCTACAATAAACAGATTTACATATGATCGACATATTAAAACCTTCATATTTCATGACATAAAAATTGGCCTTGGATTTTCAATTTTGGATCAAGGTTGCACTTTGGCCTATCGTTTGGAGCCCTGGTTGAAGGCAAGGAGAATTCTCTTTGGTTCTCGATCAGCTTATTTAGAATCGCCACCATAGACGAGTCTTCACCTCTTGAAGTATTAACGGGCATGTATTGCACGTGATCAGACCGAGGGGGTGGGCCTGGGTTCACTGGTTCTACAATGTCACTTGTAGCATTCACAAAATTAGGCTGGCTAGGAATACGAAATGTTTCTGGATCATTCACACGATTCTCTAAATTAGTGTTCTTGATAGGAGTTAATCTTGGCATGCTTCTTTCAGTTTCAGAAAACACGGAATCATGATCACTAACAACTGGTTTCTGTTTTAAACGACGATTCAATTCTCTTGCAGCCTGAAGTTTTGACTTTAAAATTAATTCTTCTTCCTTTCGTTCTAAATCAGCTTCTTGGGCCTTTAATTCTAACTTTCTTCATAAGAAATCAGCCTTTTCTGTTGCTCGACGAATTTCTAATTTGGCAGCTTCTAATTCTAGTCTTCCTTTTATATCTTGTTTCCGTTCTTCAATTCTGGTTCTATCTTCCAGGGTTTCTAGCATGCACCGGATTTCAATTTCATCTTTAAGACTTTGAACAAAACTATCTTTATGGTTTTCTGTCGATGCTTCATGATTAGCTGTGTTATCTACAGGAATCACGTTATCAGCGTCATTCTGTTCTACATTGTTTTCTTGTTGCTCACCAACTGGATTGGGGGCATGTTCATTTTCATTTACAGCAACACCGGCCCCGTTTGGGGGAGTATCGCCATTATGACCCGTCTCGTCTTCCATAATTACAATCGCCACGATTCTGTCAATGAACGGGCGATTGGTAACATTCTCACTAGTTCTATCCAAAGTCACATCTCTGCACTGCACACAAATGACAGTAGGCAAATATACAATAAAACCTTCATGACATTCTAAAATTCTCAATTCTACTCACGAGTCCTTATGTTTTCACTAATGTGGGTTGCACATGATGATAGTACCTCGCCGGGACGAAGTCGGGGGGCGCTCTGTCAATCATCACTAGTTCGAACGCTGGTTGTTTAGTAATTGGGTTTATTATCGATTCAACTCATGTAAACAATACATGACGACTTACAAAATAGTCTACAACAAAGTTTACATCTACAACACAGTAAACAACACTGGTGAAAACAACATACGGACGTCGTGCAGGCGGCACAATACTGGATCTTCAATGAGTCACGTTCTATTTTTCACTCGGCAACCCGGCATATCTCTGCAGATTCCACTCGGCCAACTTCGGTTACTCCTCTACACCAAACCATGTTTCCAAACAGAGTTATCTTTCCGTGACCCGCAAATTATATTTTTAACAATGAGTTGAATTCTATTTTTCACTCGGCAAACTTCGACAGATTCCGGAAAACCTCGGCAGAGCTATATATATATAGAAACTATAATATAGCCAAAGAAATATATACTGACAGTATATATTTCAAAGATATAACTCTACGACTTGTCACTTGATCCTTGATACATTTTCCAAACTGAGTTATCTTCTCGAGACAATAGGCCTATCGTATGATTTCCCTACCGATCGCCGCCATTTGGAACAACGACACTGCCGTCACTTGACGTAAGGCTTAGCTTCTACCTACTTTTACGAAATTTCTTGATTTCTTGATCATTTTAAATAAAAGCAATTAAGCGGTTATGGCTGAACTTTGTCTATTCGGTCATTCTTTTATTCATCGTTTATCCCATAGGATTGGTAATAGACTACCACGTCATTTGGGGGGTGGGGGACGGATCCATCGTGTTTGGCGTAGCGGAGGGACGTCACTATATTTAAGACAGGATGTAGGAAAGATTCCTGTTAGTGTTGATGTTGTTTTCGTTCAGACTGGGGGTAATGACATAGGTCTACACAATCAACAGGCTGTTCGCATTGTTAACGACATAATTAACTTAGTTAATTTGATTCGTCAGCAATGCCCATGGGCTGTTATTGTTGTGGGCAATTTGTTTGCTCGCCTCAAACCTCGTGGTCTGAGTGATAAGCAGTACAACGAAGTTAAGAATTCGGTGAACAACCTGCTCCGCCACAGGTTGTCATTTTTATATCGAGTGCTTTTTTGGAATTCCAGTCGGAAGACGAGGTATAGGGCATTGCACTTCGATCGTTGGGGAGTTCACCTTAATGCTGCAGGCAATCGTCTTTTTGCCAATTCGATTCGTGCAGCATTTATAATGGCTCTTTCCCTGTTCAACGAGTGAACTGTTCACTTATTATTATTAATTCTATCGTTGTCCATTTTCTTGGTGGGAGCATTATGGTTTAGTAATGCACCACAATGAAGGCTACCGGTAGCCTTCAAATCTTAAAGTTAAACCTTAGTAAAGTGACTCAGGTGTTTGACATGTAAGTTTACATTTTTTTTTTAATGAATATTATAACTTGACCTTGTAAACAAATAAAGATATCATGTGATCTTTTCTGTATTAAATTTATATGCATTATTTAAATTTGTAAAATAAAGAAGAAGCCAGTTAAATTTCAATAATTTATATTAAACATACAGTATGCAAGAGCAAAATCTGCCTATTGTATTCGTAGGTCTTTCTTTTAAACTTTAGGCCTTAAATGTTATAAAAACTATTAATTACTAAATTAGACATTAATTAACTTATCCAGACCATAATCTATTAATCAGCTCTCATGCAATGTCAATGATAGCTTCTCTCTGTTCTACTGGGATGTCCATTTTCGTTCAAATTACTTTTTAACTACACTTTTTTTGTAAGTTAGGATGTGACTAGGCTAATGAAGATGGATGTTAGAATGGTTTTAAGTCATTTCAATACTTGTTTGGAAAATAAAATGTAGAAATGATTTAATTATTGTACTCATTGAAGTCATAGAAATGTAGGGTAGAATTTGAGCAAAGTTATGACTTACATTGAAATTTCCCTGATTGCAGGTGATATTGACATTCGGGTTTGCGTTATACTCACACTCACATGTATGGAAAGGATATCTTGACATAATTACTTGCATTACATGTATTTAAAATGATTTTGAAGCTTTTCCAGTGACGTTTATTTATTAAATAATCACATGAGAACATTTAGAGTTGATTAAGCATTGACACTTTGGATAATTCTGGAATGGATTGATCAATTAAAAATAAGTTGAAGAGGTAGTAGTAAAAAGGATATACATTAACAATTTAAAGTCCCACTGTCAATATTTGAAAACAAAAATCTACATTCAAATCTTATCTGGAACAGTTCATTGTGTTACAAGCCATTTGTTCTTAATAGATAGCCGAATTTCTTTTAAATGTTGTAATACTACTAGGGTGATTTGATGATATTCATCGTTAGTTGGCAATTGGTGTGCATGAAAGTATTCTAAAATTGCTTCCAGAATATTTTTTTGAGATTCGAAAGATCACTTCATTATTTTAACTCTGGCTGACATATTTTATAGTTTTGAAATAAGCCTAAAAAGTCTGTACTTTATAAAACTTTATGAACTGGATTTTTGCTGTTTTGTAGTATACCTATCACGGTCATCATGGGCAGATATGGAAATCTTGGCAAAAACAAAATGGAGGATAATGGTCAACATCAGTTTTATCAGCCTTCGGATCGTAAAGTTCAAGGTTTCTATATTTTACAACATTCATGTTTTGTCAACAATATGTTGTTGGAATGGGAGTTTTTTGACAATGATGATCGTGTATTCAGGTAAGTTGCCTTAAGGCCTAGTCTGGTCTCCCGGCCATAATCTTAAGGCCTAGTCTTGTGTCTTCCGGTCTCAACTGTAAGGCTTAGTCTTGTATCTTCTGGCCTCAACTGTAAGGCCTAGTCTTGTGTCTCTTAAGACCTAGTCTTGAATCTCTTAAGACCTACTGTAGTCTTGCGTCTTCCGGCCTTAACTGTAAGACCTAGGCTGTGTTTCCTGGCCTTAGCCTTCAAGCCAGAATTTCATATTTTCTATGAAAGTCAAAACATAATTATTTCTATGTCTTTTGCTCAATAGGTTATCAACTCACTATTATACGACTATGGGCATTATTTCCCACCCTTAAAAATCATTGACACAGGAAATAATAACACAATTACCTCCCTTGTTTTCCTATTGCCTCCATGCATTAGCTATCTTCAAATGTTGGAATTCGAAAATGATATTTTTGCCAATTTCGCAGCTGGCAATAGTGAATTATAGGATTAATAGGATTATTCTTTAACAAGGTAGGACTGTGTATGGATACCATCTATTTTAAGGCTTTATTTTAATAAATTTTAAAAATATAACTTAACAAATATGAAATTGTAGCTTTAAGATCTAGTCTTGTCCCATTGATCAAAATTTTGAAATGTTCAGTTTGCTTGTTACTCTTCTTTTGTTTTTAGGGGTGGTTGAGTGGTCCAAGCTCATAAGGTCTTTCATTGAGTCAAACCTCCTGGGTGTCAGTCCAAAAATGTTGGTTTGTTTTGTGTGAGTGTTAATCCCCATTTCTCTCTTTTTTTACTTTAAGATGTCAGACGAAGATACAGAAGGAAGATGTTGGAACCGAACCTGCAGTGTCTGTTAGTAGGACAGGCTCTAGAAATTTTGCAGCAGCTGATATCTTGTTTAAGCTCTACGAAACACAACCAGTCATAGAGGTAAGTTATTCTATTGAATACTTGAATTAGCTTTAGGGCTATGGATTCCTGAGCTAAATAGGGCCTACATTATATAAAGATAGGTTGCCAGGCAACTAAACATACGCCCACAGCAGCTAAATCGTCCGAGCGGTCGACAAGAGTTGTCGTATATTTGTTCTTTTGTAGGTAATTAGGGGGCATTTAATAGACAACTTCATACAGATGACATTATAATTTTCGTCGTTTGAGGGTTCACAAGGTTCTAAAAACTAAAACAAGGGCTGTAACTCAGGAAGTAATCTACAGAAATTATTGAAATTCGACAGACTTTTTCGTTTTACTAATTCAAATAATACATATCAATTTCATACAGATCGGATGATAACTTTTGTCGTTCGAACGTTCACAAGATTCAACAAAGTAGAACAAGGGCCATAACTCTAGAAGTAATTGACAGAAATTGCTGACATTCAATAGGCTTCTTCATTTCACTAATATAAATGATGCATATGAATTTCATACAGATTGGGTGATAACTTTTGTCGTTCAAGCGTTCACAAGATTCAACAATGTGAAGCAAGGGCCATAACTCTAGATGTAATTAACGGAAATTTGCTGAAACTCAATAGACTTGTTCGTTTTACTAATTTAAACGATACCTTTAAATTTCATACAGATCGGATAATAACTTTTGTCGTTAAAGCAACCACAAGGTACAACAAAGTGAAACAAGGGCCATAACTCATGGCGTAATTAAAGGATTCTTCGTTTCACTAATTTAAATCATGCATATCAATTTCAAACAGATCGGATGATAACTGTTGTCATTAGAGCGTTCACAAGATTCAACAAAGTGAAACAAGGGCCATAACTCTAGATGATTAACGGAAATTGCTGAAATTCAATAGGCTTCTTTGTTTTACTAATTTGAATCATGCATATAAATTTCATACAGATCGGTTGATAACTTTTGTCGTTTGAGCGTTCACAAGGTTCAATAACATGAAACAAGGGCCATAACTCTAGACGTAATAAACGGAAATTGCTGAAATTCAATAGGCTTCTTCGTTTCACTAATTTAAATATTGCATATAAATTTCACAAAGATCGTATGTTAACTTTTGGCATTAGAGCGTTCACAAGGTTCAACAAAGTGAAACAAGGGCCATAACTCTAGACGTAATAAACGGAAGTTATTGAAATTAAATAGGCTTCTTCATCTCACTAATGAAAACAACATATATCAATTTTAAAACAATTGGATGATAACTTTTGGCGTTAGAGCGTTCACAAGAAATTGTGGACGATGGACGGACGGACCGACGGACGTACCGACAGACGGACGGACGGGGGCGACGGCAATATACGTCCACATTTCAGTGTGGGCGTATAAAAACCAATTTAGCCAAGCATTGCATTTCTACACCCTTTCACTGAAGCAACGTTCCTGTCCCTTGAGCAGGGTTATCCTGTGACAACACCAGAAGATTGATATATGGGTGGGCTGGTCTAGTGGTCTAATGCATGCCCTTTAGATCATAAGATATGTCCTTGAATCAATTTGAGCCAAGCTTGTATGTGACAAGGAGTAGAATCTCATGTCCAGTATCGTGCATTTTTTTCCCGTTCCGTCAACATGCTGCCAATGGCTTTACAAGGGACCTTTTTTCTTGTCCAGTCCATCTTGCCCTTGCAACAAGACGAAAAAAGGGTGGAAAAACCTGAGGAACTTCCTTGGCCAGATTAAAAACAGATTCTTATCAATGAGCCAGTGTCCTACACACTGAGTCAGAACCCACCGAGCCAGCGGTTTACCCACAGAGGTGGGTCTTTACCCACTGAGACATTGTCTTACCAACTGAGCTGGTGGCTTAACCCCTGAGCCGATGGCTTATCCACAGAGCTGGCACCTCATGTACTGAGCCACCTTGGTTTTCGTTCTGCTCTTGTATTGCACATAAAAATGCCTTCCTGGCTAGGCACAGATTTGACCTTTAATTGATGAATGCCATTATTTAAAGTTAACCTAGATATCATGTCTTAGTAAATCGTTTTTCATTCCAGGTTTCTGCTTACACTAAACCTGATCAAGTTTTGATACGTTGCTTAAAGAAGCGGAGGTGTTGAAGAAAGCTGCCGAGGATGCAGGAGAAAACGTTACAGCTACTACAGCTGAAGGAACTGATTCAGAAACTGAGACCAGTGACACAGATGTTGAAATGAAGGAAGAAGTAACAGATTCACAGGCTAAGAAGAAATATCCTAGAAAACCACATTACCGTCATGCTGATAAGATTTATTTTAAAAAGCTGCCCAGGCACGACTAGACGAATTCATAAAAGTTAAAATGCTAAAAGATCTACTGTTTGGACCTGCTTTCCCTCATCATATCACACGCCAGATTAACGGCTTACTGTATAACCTCCCCGTTCCAGTTCGCTTTATAAATCATTCCACTAGAATTCAGATGTACACCATTGTAACGCAAAGTATGTCACCGATCAAAATTGTCGCATTTCTCAAAGCCAACGGTGGACAGTCTGGTCGCTTTCGTTTAGTCGACAAATCAGAACTTCCGACACATAAGCACATTTTACCAGAACTTAAAAGTAGGGAAATTTCAACTAAGATCAAATCCAAATTTTAGTAGAAATTTCAATTTTGATTGGCTAAGCACTAAAACCAATCAAATTGTTGGCTTTTTTGCTAATAAATATAAGTGCTAGTCTAATGTCTTGTCTCAATTACATCTTCAACAGTATGGTTTTGTTTCTAATTTAAAATCCAAATATTTGTCTAAAGTCTTTACCAGTTGTGTGGTTGAGTGGTCTGATGTATGCTTTAGATCATAAGGTCTGTCATTGATTCAAGTGCCATGGTTTGTGTTGAAGGTACTTCCATCCTTATTTGTTTTATTTTCGCCAGTCATGTTTGGCCGTTTTGACTGACTTGCAGTGAAATTGACCAACTGGAGAATACTAGTAGATCATAAGGTCTGTCTAAAGTTTAGACAAATATTTGGATTTTAAACTAGATTTATAAGGGGCATTTTAAAGGGGCATTGGCGCCATTGGGTAAGATTAGATAAGAGCTGACAGTTCTCGCTATAATAGTTCAACAATAAATAATAGAAACAGAAAATGCTGAAATTTCAGTCAGATTGCTTTGCTCTGAACCGAGATATAGGTGATTCAGTTTTAGGCTACAGAGCCAATTTTCTGAAAGGTAACCTTTTCTGTGGTTCAAGTATCTGATGTGAGAATCTGGGCCCTGTTTCTCGAAATCTTAACAGTGGGAATGCAGTCGACCCTACTCTTGGAAACGAAGCTAAGCCACTTCACTAAATGACAGACCTTATTATCCAACACGAATGTTGTGACCAATAACCACTTTCCTGTCTTAAGGCCTTTGAAAACAGTATTCCTCATTATTAATTTGTCCCAACTAATCATGGTTCATGAATGCGTGTTCTCGATATGTTGACACTTCTACGATGGTGGGTGACTACGAGTCATGAGTGAAATAATGTTATTTCGTTTAATCTGTTATACTAATATAGAGAAAATACAATTTACATTTTATGGATATAACTTTTATGGATATAACTGTTACAACAAATAACACATCTACACAAATTTTTAAGTTGACCTCATTTCAATCAAAGTAAATACATGTACCCGTAAGTATTGTTTATATTCGCGTTACGTTTGGTAGTGGAACCGTGACACTGACATATTGTACATCGTTGACTTCAGGGTTAGGCTTGTTGTCTACCAAAGTTAGGTTAACATCTTCCACTACACTGCAAAGTCAGTAACATCATCAAGCTAACCTTTGCTAAAAGGTTAATGTTAATAACATCCACCAATTAGTCTATACACTAAACACAAGACCTGCAGCATTCAATCTCTGTGATCTATAAATAATTAATAAAAAAACATATGAACTTACTTCAAATTTACACACTATAACTTATTACATAAACTTTATGTAGATAAGGAAAGTGAATTTTGAGATGCACTCCAATGACAAAGAGTTGATTTACATAAAAATTTACAAAAATAAGAACTGTTAATGAAAATAATAAACTGATTTACCTCAAGATAGATAATTGGAAATATTTTCTATACTTTTCTTCTGAAAAATGAAAGGGCGTAGTTTTATTATAAAACAAGGAACATGTACTACAAAAACATATAATTATTAATGTACCCCCTCGCCAACACGTACATTTGGAATTCATTTAATATAGTTAACTAAAAAAAATGTTAAAATCACAATTAATTATGATACCACAATTACAGGCTGGTAAAATCAACACAAAGTTCATACATTAGATTATAATAACCAGAATCGACTTTAAACTGATGTCTCTCACATATCAATGCCATAACTCTTGCAGTAATTATCAGATCTCGCTGAAAATCAATAGGCGTCTTGTCTCATGACCTTAAACATGCCAATTCAAAACATATTTGTTTTCATTTTCCAACTCTTGTCTTACTCTTTTTGCAATGTAAAAATCACGAAAACGTTTTATTTCTCCCAAAGTAAAATTGACATATGGCAAATCTATATAAAAGTCTTTGTCATTCTGTACAGACCCAATAATCTGATCCAAATCTTTAATTGGAGGCATGTATTTTGACTCTTCACATCTAGAGAATTTAATATTTGTTATGTTTCGTTTAATAATATAGCTTCTACATATAACAACAGGCAGAATTTTGTTAGGCAATGAGAGATTAATTCTACTAGTACTATTAGTATTTTGTAAAGCCATATTTGAGTACAATGTAACTTGCTCACCTGTTTTAATTTCCTTAGATTATACTGAATACCGTGGCGTACTGGAAAGGTCTTTCAAACCAATTTACGCTGAACAATCTAACACAGTACAGTAGTATAGTATTGTATGGTACCTTCTTCCACCAATCCAAGTGAAAAATCAAAACCACTATTGATGAACACTGAAATAGAAACATGTAACTACCCTAAATTCACATATTAGATAGTAAAAGCTTAATTGATTCTATTAGTTAAGTATAATATTTGAAATTAGATCTATAATATATAATTATGATTTTAATAAATCTTAGCTGACAATAACGTGCGGATTTCATTCAGTTTTAAAATTGGTACTATAGGGCCTAGCCAGTATAGCGATTCTGAAGGGAAAATACCGCTTATAGTCCATGTGACAGACAGATTTTCATTACCAATTTGATGAATAAATTTAACCATGATTTTCAGTTAGCCTTAGGTCTAAAGTGTCCAAAATTGGTTGATGGACATCCGGGTCACTTTGCCAAATGTGAGTTTGGCGGCCATCTTTAAAAATGGCCGCCATTTTTTAATTTGAAATAGTGCAAGTCAGGGAAACCTCCACAACTCCTCAACAGGTTCACCTATGGATATGTAAAATGGCTCAAAATGTTCATAATACAATTCTAAATCTGCTGGTATATGACTCATGTTGTTTAGGAAATGCTTTCGGTTTCAAAATAAAAGACTAATCTGAAAACAGCAATATTTTCGGGTTTTTTTTCATGATGTCTGTTCATGAGTTTACTAAAAAAATCTTGTTCAGACCCATATAAGCCAAATTATCTATTTGGTCAACTAAAGTGATTTACTAGATATCAGAAACATTGATCATAAAAAAATAATCTCTAATATGAGTGTCCAAAATCCAAGATGGCATAATATCAAAATGGCCAATTTGTCAGTTAATAGTTATTTCACAGTTTGATATTACATGTAATATCCAATTGAAAGGGATTACTGACCTTAAAATTAACCAAAACACAGAGTGTTTAATAAAATCCAAGATGGTGAATATTCATAATGGCGGCCAGAATTTCCGTAAAATGATCGATTTTCTGTTTAATGTAGCTTGTAATATGTCTTTTTAAGCAAATAACACACTATTTGTGGATAACAATTACTATAGTTTATTTCACTGTGACGTTTCAACAAGATTTTACATGTCGTTATCATGTTTTTACTGTTATGGCCTATTGCTCGTGGTTCATTATACCGCTTGAATAATTGTTTGATCTTTTGTTCTTGTGCTTATCTATACCAATTACAGTTTATACCTGTATATGTGCATTTGATTATCTAACGGCTTGGGACATTACAATGCCCATACTAGCTGACTTTGCATCCCTTTGGAGGGTCAGCACCGCTCTTGTATATATATAGCCATATTCTTTTCATTTTATTGCCCCCCCCCCCCCCGCCTTTCGAAGAAAGCAGATGACTATTAAAATGGGTTCGTCTGTCCGTCCGTCACACTTTTTGGGACACAATAAGTCTCTTTCTAATTGAGCAAGAATGTTCAAACTTGGTGTAGGTGTTTATTAGGTCAATGCCTTGATGGAGTTCGAAGATGAGAATTTTTTGCTTAGGGTAAGCAGAAATACGCAATTTGATTGGTTGATGCTTTGGGACACGATAGTACTTTAGTTCTAATTAAGTGAGAGTGATAAAACTTGGTGTATAGTTTCATTACATCAATACCTTGACTAAGTGCGATAATGAGAGTTTTCTGCTCAGGGTAAGCAGAACAATAAGCAATTTGATTGGCCGAGACTTTAGAACACAATAACTCTCATTCTAATTGAGGTAGAATGTTCAAACTGGGTGTAGGCGTTCATTAAATGAATGCCTTGATGGAGTTCGATGATGAACATTGTCTGTTTATGGTAAGCAGAGATAAGCTATCTGATTGGTTGATGCTTTGGGGCATGATAACTTTGGTTATAATGAAGTGAGGGCGATATTAGCTTGACTAAGTTCGATCGTGAGAATTTTCTGCTTAGGCTAAAGAGCGATAAGCAATTTGATTGGTCAGGACTTTGGAACGCAATAACTCTGCTTTTAATTAAGGTAGAATGCTGAAACTTGATGTAAATGTTCATTAGCTAAATGTCTTGACTCAGTTCAGTAATTAACATTTCGGGCTAAAGCTAAGCAGAGCTAAGCAATTTCAATGATCGATGCTTTGGGACAAGATAACTTTGATTCTATCTGATAGAGAGTGATGAAACTTAGTGTATAGTTGATAATCAGTTTGATTGCTCGATACTTTTAAAAAAAATAAATGTGCGATTAATTAATATGGGTCATCTATTTATTTAGGGATTTCGACGGGGTCATCAGCCTCACTGTTGGCTTGTTTATTAATGTTATATGCTTGGTAAGGACTTGTGAAATCTTATTGAAACGTCGCAGTGAATTAAACTATAGAATTTGTTATCCATAAATAGTGTGTTATTTGATTATGCTTCAATTACTAAATGCCTGACCCCATGACCCACCTACAATGCCCAACTAGTCTTATGCGGGACATATTGTGATCAATGGCCAACTGATAGCAGGGGCGGATTGGGCCATCGGGCGATCGCCCGATCGGACAAAAAAATGAAAAAAATAATTTTGTCCAATTCGTCTAAAAAAACCTTTTTCTGCTGAACATTATATGGTGGGGGGGGGGGTATTGGACCGGCCATGGAACTACGATGATGTGGCCGGTGTCTTTAACGGGCTGCCACGCCATCACTGGAGTCTGGAATGGGCTGGTATAATAGACTTTCTGGGCCGGGTGTGCTGGGTGTGTGCCGGAATTCGGAATCCTGCAATGGGGATTCCGAATTCCATCACAGGAGGAATCAACTAGCGCTCCCGGCAACAAAAATGGGACATTTTACAATGAAAATATTCCTACTTATTCAATATTCCTAACTGGTTAATCAAATGGTCAAAATTTTCTCAACTAGTCCCATTTTTAAACCAGTTAAATTCTCTTGACTCTTGACGATACAATGATAATACGTTAATTAATAATATGACGATATGATAATTTCACAGGTTGATTGGTGTAAATTACTTGTAGGTCGGGGTTTTGGCCTAAATTAATCGATTTATGAGATATATTATTTGACAAAGATTATAATCACATATGCCACCAAATCGCATATTTGGGGTTCATTAAAAGGGGTAGCTCCGACAAGGGAGCCCGGACCGGTTCCCGGCCCCAATCCGCCCCTGACTGAAAGTGTACCACTATATTTATGCCTGATCTTGCTTGACCCATTATCCACCTAGCTAGAGTGTCAACAATTTTAATTTAATGCGTAACCTACAGTTCCCAACAATTTTTATGCATGGTCTAGTCTGACCCACCTAGCAATTTTTGTGTGTGGCTTAGGGTTTTTTCGGTAATTAGTGTTGTTTTTTTCGTTATTTATTGATTTTTCGATATTTGGGTTTTTTCGGATTTTTTCGGTAATTAGTATCAAAAAAGTTTTTTCGGTATTTTGTCTGCATCTTTCGGTACTTTTCAGATTTTTATCTCGGAACTTTTCGCATTTTTTCGTTATATGGTACAACCGAACCGGTTTTTCATCAAAGACTCTATGCCTGGCAACTTTTGTGGTATAGTCTAGATAACGTATCCACAGATCCATTTCACAACAAGTTGAAAGTTTAAAAAGAATCGTTGCGAAGATAATTTGAAATGCATTAACGACTAGGCATCACAAAAGTAATGTCGACCAATTTCTTCTTTCGCTTTAGGCAGGCCTATGATATTAAAAGGATATCATCATTGTCGCTGCCGAGATCTCCTGTTTCTTCTTGTACTTTGGCTAGTATCCATTGCTGAAGAAAAACAGTAGTTTCGATTGTCACAGTAATTCCAATGAGGTGGATGGTTGTGACATTAACAAAGAGGAAATAGTGAGCCATGCTTTTGGGTAAATGTATTTCAAATTATCTCTGTAATTATCATTTTTAAACTAAGAACTTGTTGTGAAATACATTTTACACTTTACACTTACACAACTGACAAATATGAATCCATGATACCATCTGGCTAGATTCTAGATGATACCACAAAAGGTTGCCAGACTCTTCAAAGTAAAAATCTATCATATTACCATTTGTGGACCAGAAATAAAATGCAATGTGGGTTAACGTCCTACTGTTCTAACTTGGTCAATGAAGATGGCTATTCGTCATAGAGTGTGAAATGAGGTAAAATTTGTCCAGACACAGGGATCGAATTCCGGACCTCGTTGAACCTTACCCACTGAGCCACTATTTCGGCCAATTTCTGAACAAACAGAATAGATAAATTCTTAACAACTAGATATATTTGCAAAGATATATTAAAATTCCTTACAGTTTTGCTGGAATATTATTAAATCTTATTTTCTGATTTACGAGATCTGGTATAATTAATTCCATCCTCCCCTAAAAATCTACTACACATTTTTATAATAAGCCAAGCCAAGAGAAAGACTGACAATTGTCCCGTTTTGTTCTTAAGCAATAATCTACGATATCCAAAATCTTTTTTTGAGGTAATATTTAAGTTTAGTGATCCTGAAAACCCCATAAATGGCATATTACAAGCCGTACAAAACAGAAAAATGACGATTATCTGAAAAATCATTCATTTTAGGGAAAATCTTGCCGCACTCTTGGATTTTAGCCATCTTGGATTTTGGAAATCCTTTTTTTTAGATGTTCTATTTAAGTTCTGTGACATCGAAAACCCCTTAAGCGGCATTACAGGGCATATCAAACTGTAAAATGACGATTATCCGAGGCATCGATCATTTTAGGCAAATTTTGACTGCCATTTTGAATTTTCGTCATCTTGGATTTTGGGAAACTAATTTTATAGATCAATTGTAAGTACAATGACTACAGAAACCCTATATATGATATATTACAAGTTTTACCTTGCGTGATACTCATCCATCCTAACAAGAAATTCATTTTTCGTCAAATTTTGGCGACCATTTTGGAAATCAGACGGATTCAACCGAAAATGACGTCACAGAAGTGACACACTATCAAAATCGTCTTCAGTGACAAATTTTTCTTCAGAAACAACCGGTCCCCAAATATCGGTGTGATTGCGACAACCCTAAATAAACGTTCACATGGTTAGTAC